TTTTTAAGCAAATTCATTCAGATTGAAACAATGAAGCATGCAGTATCTTACATGCAAATGTTGAAGATGGGAGTTCAGCACAGAGAGGGAGAAGCATCTGTACTAAAGCAAATGTGAAGGTTTTAGAGTTTAGCATCTGAATTCAGCAGGAGTTCACAGCTCCCACCACTATATGGATACAGAGTAACATACAGATTCTGCTAGCAGACTCCATCATAATGGTGTAGTTTTTGTTGTAATAATGTTAGGAACATGTATTTAACATCTAATGTAATGTGAGATTGTTGTAGTGAATTGTTTACTGCATTTAAAAGACAGATAAATGGGACAGGTGTAATGATACTAGATTTGTTGTGTTCCTTCATTCATTTTCAGAATTTAGTACTTTGTAATGTCTTGTAATGATTTTGACATCAGTGAACACTCAGCTGGAACTGAAAGTTTCCACTTTTAAGCTTATTTAAACAGATGGTCCTTTTTTAGCCAGTCAAAATAGTGTTGAGGGAAAATAGAGGGATTTTGCAATGTTGTTTGCAAAACTATGTATTTAGATGTGTGCTTTATAGGATAATATCACCAAGATAATACCCATATCACCCTGCAACTGACAACCCACTGAAGCTAAAGAGGTGTGAGCCTGGTCAGTACCTGGATGGGAGACCTGGGAAAACTAAGGTTGCTGCTGGAAAAGGTGTTAGTGGGACCAGTAGGGAGTGCTTACCTTGTGGTCTGGGTCATATATCTCTAGTACAATGAAGGGGGCACCATACTGTAAATCCACCGTCCTTCAGATGAGACATAAAACTGAGGCCCTGACTCTGTCTTTAAAAATCCCATGGTGTTTCTCGAAAAAAAACAAGGGTGTTACATCAGCGTCCTGGCCAAATTTCCCATTGGCCTTTACCAATCATGGCCTCCTAATAATCCCCATCTATGAATTGACTTCATCACTCTGTTCTCGTCCCCACTGATAGCTGGAGTGTAGTGAGCGTACTGGTGCACTATGGCTGCTGTCGCATCATCCAGGTGGATGCTGCATATTGGTGGTGGAGGGGAGTCCCTATTACCTGTAAAGCACATTGAGTGAGTGTCTGGAAAAGTGCTATATAAGTGTAAGGAATTATTATTATTATTATTGTTGTTATTATTATTATTATTATTATTATTATTATTATTATTATTATGTGAGTCTGTTAGACAGATAAATCTGATTGCAGTGTATACTTTTTATAATGTGCTCAACACCACAACAAAGTATCAGAGATCTCTTCAAGGAGTCTACTTTTCTTCATTACATTTCATTAGAACATGTTTTCATTGATGGCCCCACTGTGACTGATTATCGCATATGCTCAAATACAGTAGCTGTCTACTTAAGACATGGAATGCACATAAGCAAATAATATGAATGTCTTTAATTTAAGGCCTAAAAACCTAAGATAATGTTTCACCTGTACAACTCAAACTTTATAATGCTATTTATTCTTTATACCAAGGGACCTAGCCTTCTTATATAACTTTTTGTTTCTTAGGCACGTGAAAGAAACTAGGAAATTCTGGAAATACACTTATTATCAAAGACTTATTAGTATGAAGCTTTTATCCAAAGTGCCTTATATTTCAACCCATTAAAATAATACAGACCTTTATTTTGAATACAGCCCCCTTTTATCTGATAATTGTTTCATCCTGTCTATTGTGGAATATATTTAATCCCATTGACTAATGCACTGAATAAAAATGATGAGGTATTAGAAGCAGTATCAAGCGAATTTGGTTTATATTGAGCTGAACAGTTCCAAAATTACCAGGGACACCTTCTCAATGGTAGGAAGAAGACTCCTCAATTCCAAGTGTTGGTGAGGTGAGATGTTGTGCTTTTAAAGAAAGGAATCTTAGCAATATAGCAATCCCATTAACTTGGGGAGCAGACTGTGACAATGGTGTATACTCCAGCAAATCTATTTCTGTGGTTGCTACGGTAATATTTGCTGTACTGCATTTATAGTGTTCTGAAACATCTTGGCTGATTAAAATGTCTCAAACCTAAACTCTCTTCATTGAAGGTTCACTTTTCCTTCTCCATTAATTATTACAAAAGATGCCTTTCTGGAACATCTTTCAAAAGCACACATTGACAATTTGTCATTTTTGATCCTCTTGTTAAATTTCAATCGCACATCCCTGAATAGGAAATTCTCAGGGCTGTCAGAAAAAAAACAATTATTAATCATTGCTTTTTCAGAGAAGCTAGGTTGGTGTTGGTCCTGAACTTCACAATTTCTTAGTCCTGAAATCCTCCTTCATTTCTTTCTCATGGCAAGGAAAAATAACATCTACAACACAAAAACAAAAACATTTCTGTTATTGTCTTTTGTTATTGTCAAGGCAGGTTGTAATACAAAGAGAAAGAGAATTGAATTAGATATGTAACCTGTCTTCTTCTGTGTTTATAACACAAAGGCATACAGAAAGTGCACACTGTGTTGTTGTAATTAAAAATTGTGAATCTTAGCATTTTGCTGATAAAAACATCTTAGATGCATTTTTTGTTGTTTTGAACTTGTTTACTCACCCCCCCACCCCCCCTTCTCCAAACCATTTGTGTGAGCAATCATTTTGTTTTGTTTTTGGTATTTTTGTATGTTTTACAAAATTAATTTAAAAAGTATGAGAAAAACAGAATTTTTCTAGGCAATAGAAAGTGTTATTTATATTATTGAGATGACAAGGTAGAGGAAACATAAGTTACCTGCATTTTTAGTCTTAATATTGGTAAAGCTGTAACTTTCTTTGGAATACTTACTGTAGTAGTCAGGAGAGCAGTGACAGTTGCAGCAGTTCTACTTTGTGCTAGGGCTGCCCCTAGATTGAGTGTAAATCTGGATCACACAGTCAAGTAAAAATATTCAGTTTTGCGTGATGAACTCAGAATCTTTAAAGACTGAATATAATGTGTGCATTTCAGTGAAATTGTCATCAGCATCTTAACTGATCTATAGAAAACATTTTTGCATCTTTTTATGTGACTGAGTTGTTTTGCTTTTCCCCCCACTTCTTTTCACGTGTGTGTTTCCTTGTGATTCCGTTAATACCTTGAAAGCGTGTCTTAATAATTATATTGTTAAGCAGCATGGTCAAGAGAAGCTATGCATACTTAATGATGTGTCTGTACTATGTTGTTGGTAAAAGAAACAAGAGCATGAGGGCCTCTTTATACTGCATTTTAATTTCTTAATGATCTTCTGTATTGTCCACCAAGAATAACTGGTGAAAGCTGTTTACCATGCATTTAAATTAAGATTGTAACTCTTGCCTCTTGCAAATGACAAATGGTTGGTTTTCTACAACAAAATAAGGTTATGCTGTAAAACTACAAGTTTTAAATCAATGCTTCTAAGGAGGACTAAAAAATCAATTCAGTCGCTATCGTACGGGCCTATCATTTCACAATTGTGTAAAAGTAACTGAAGCAGTAAATGGATGTTGTGATGTAGCATGTTATCAATTCTGTAGCATTGTTATCAATTTGAGTTGGACCCTTTAAAAATGACAACCTTTTTCATCTTTATTGTTTAAATATACTGTAGTATTTTGCATTGTCATGTTTTTTTTTTATTAATTAGAAAGTGCCAGCATTAATCATTAAAATTAATATCACTCTGTTGACTGGTGACGCGTGCGTTGCTCCACTGACTGGTGACACGTGTGTCACTCCGCTGACTGGTGACATAGAGTATTATTCAGTTGAATTTTGGCACACACATCTTCTGTTGACTATATTGGGTTTTTTTTTATGTCTTCAGTTACATGTTGCCTATAGGGGCGCTGTACAATGGCTGACCCTGCGCTCTGACCCCAAGCTTCTCTCCCTGTCTGTGTGTCTGTGTCTCATGGGGAGCAAGCCGGGGTATGCGAAAAGACGAATTCCTAATGCAAGAAATTGTATAGGGCTAATAAAGCAACATTATCATTATTATTAGTTTGTGAATCCAAATGCATCACATTAGATTAGCTAATTCTGCGTGCAGATTTACAGAAATATTGACTGTAGTAATTCACTTTTTTTAAATGCATTCAGATTTTTTCAAGCTCAAACGTTATACATTTTTATAATTGAAACATAAATTTCACAAAGTAATTAAGGTTTTGGTGGTTGACCTTTTTTTGGCATGGCTCTGTGGCTAAGGATCTGTGCCTGTGACTGGAAGGTTGCCGGTTCAAATTCCGCAGCCGGCAGAGGAATTCTACTCTGTTGGGCCCCTTAGCAAGGCCCTTTACCCCAACTGCTCCAGGGGCATTGTACAATGGCTGACCCTGTGCTCTGACCCCAAGTTTCTAACCCTGTCTGTGTGTCTGTGTCTCATGGAGAGCAAGCTGGGGTATGCGAAAAGATGAATTCCTAATGCAAGAAATTGTAAAGGGCCAATAAAGCAACATTATTATTATGCCTGGCAAATTTAATTCAGCACCTGAATTAGAAGTGTATCTAATACTGATGCAGCTGAAATATTAAGGCACCTTTTCTGTTTGATTTTTCATAAAATCTTTGTGAGATCTCAAATGTGTCTATAAAGATAAAAAGTATTGTATTGTAAAATTGATAATGCAGACTCCACAATATGTAAGCGTATATTTAATAGATTGCATGACATTACCATCTCTTGTAAATGGTTAATCTCTTGTAAGGTAAAATATTACTTGTATGAATGTGCATTTGTGTATGCATTTTTTATAGGCTGTAACTGTTTTCCATTTGAAACTGTAGTCTCATGGTAGACCCTAGACATTCATTCTAATTTCACTGACTTTTCTGGTAACAACTTAAACAAATAGTTGATAAATATTTTTTTACTTGATATTCTAGAATTCCCTATTGTATGTCTGTTTGCATGCTTTAGATACTGACAGCTGTTTTCAGCAGGATTTTGTTGAAGGCAACCTAACATTTGCTTTACTAAGTTTTATGGGGTTTTTCTCCTAATATGTTTTTCTCATAGGCATTGCGAGCTGAGCTGAAGGACAGAGAGCTGATGGTGGTGAACACTTTGGACCAGGCCAGAATGTTCTTGGCTGACCAACCCATTGAAGGGCCTGAGGAGCCACGGAGGACCTTGCAGCCCAGAACAGGTGAGTGTGTGTGCTTCCCTGTCACAGGGACATATTACAGCAGACAATAATGTGCTGCACAGAAGGTCATACTCGTGGCAGCATGAATTTACAAGAATGGTTTACTACCCACTCTTGACCCTGGTCATTCTACAATTCTACAGTGTTAAAGGGTCAAAATGTTTTTAATTTGTAGTTATTTTTGATATACCCACCTGGTTTGAAATAGCCATTTCAGGGTGGTCACGTGTCAGCTACAATCCCTGCAACCTGGCAGAGGAGAGAAGAAGGAGGTGTTGATTCCTCAGACAGACCTACCTTGAAGCCTCTTGACCCAGGCTCCGCAGTCCCTTACCAGAGGTCCAGCTTTCAATGGAATGAATGGCACCACTGGAATCGCTGTTTCTCCAAGAGCTGAGAGAGCCCTGGCTGAGTATCCCACCATACAGTCAGGCAATCGTGTGCCACAGCTTGGGGAATCCCAGGTATAGTCAGCTAGTGACACGACCCCATTGTCAGGTTTCTAACTGACAATAACCTTTTTACAATACCACTGAAAAGTAAACACTTAAGTGTGATAAAGTTGATGATTAATAAGTTAATGAAGCAATTGAGTGTTTTTGGTATGAATTAATGGACAATAGGAAGAAACAGAGTCTGAGCTTCTACTACAATATTTTGTTTTGAACTCCTATCTTTAAACCTTTCTTCTGAGAATGTAAAACTCACAACTTCCTCTAGGAGCACTGTTAGAAATTAGAAGCACATTGTGTAAATCTGATCAAAGCTTGCATTGATGAATTTTGTCCATTTTCGGCTATGATATCACAGTAAAGAGAGGGATAGGCTGCCTTAGGCCCTCCAAGGTAACACAGAAAGTGTGTCAGTTAGGAGAAAGGATTTTATCCACTGTCAGATGATTCACAGCATCAACATTGATTTATGAGGAGAATCATGGGAAGTTGTAGGTATATTAGAAGCTGTTCTGAAATAATACAGTAGATTCTGCATTTTTTCCAAGTATATTTACATTATGTTCTCACAACTACTTATGAAAAATGTATTATAATAAGATTATAATCATAAGATAGAATAAATTGTGAGATATAGTAAAAGATTTATAAGAGAAATATAAGAGAAAAGACATCTTTTCTCCACCATCAACAGACTGCTCAAGCCAAACTAACTGCCCCACCACATTGCCTGTCTCATCACAACTTTGCAACAC